CTAATTACATTAAAAAATAAGAGCTATTTAAATTAAGTAATTGACACCTACTTGGATATCAGGTGTTGTCGAGAGTTAAAAAATATACCGGTAGACGAAAACGGTTGATAGGCGATAGGAGCGTTGACCCGTTTATTATAGCAAATAAAAGAAAAACACAAACGGAATCCAATTTTTTTTAAGATTAAAACAAAGACATGAATGAAAAATTCGATCGATATTAGGGGGCGCGATTTTCTTCTCGATCTCGAATAATCGGAATATCACCCAGTACCGTGGTGTCTTAAACAAGTAGAAATTATTGCTGTCTATTAGGGTGGTTCTTAAAATTAATTTAGTAAAATTTAAAAATTATACAATCTCAATTAGTTCCAATACTTATAAAAATGAGTTACACAATGTTTCAGGTAAATCAGGAAAGATTAATCCGTGCCACAAAAGGCCTAAAGTTTGAAAACTCAAAAATTTTGAATAACCGTACATTTTTCATTGTTTTTTTTTAGTTAGCGCGTTATATAATGCATTCAAAACAAAAGTTGTTTAAAATAATATTTTGCACAAATTATATTCTGAACAATCTTTTGATTTACTTATTATTTATATATAAAAAGTCAATATGTATAATTTTGTTGTTAAAAACTCACAAAATAAAGTTAATGTTAGTTGTAGTTTTTCAACTCGTGGTAATTTTCGTAAAATATCATAACATCAATGTATAATCTTGAATAAACTTTTATCGAGCTATCAAGTCACAATTTATCACAAGAATGACTAAAAAGACGATAAAGTCTTTATCAAAACCCATTACTAATATTTGTCCTAACTATACATTTTTCAGGTTATTGTTTTCATTATTTCTACTGCGCCCGTATGATCATTTTAAGATCGTATACATTTTAGTGTTTACAATAATTTTGATTTTCAACATTTTTTTAATACATATTAAAATGGCTTCACGGAAAACTTAACGATAAGATACAATTATATTTTTAATTAGTTTCCTGTCAAACCAAATTATTGGTAGTAAATTACCGTCAATAAGACAAGTACTATCGGTTTTTTTTTTTAATATTCGTCATGTTAACTTGAGCATACTTGAAAGCTCTAAACTGACAATAAAAGAGGTAAGTATTTTTTGGCAAAAAGCGCGTATACCTATCAATGCTGAACAGTATTGCATAAAAAAACTTCAAAATTATTACGATGAATAGAGAAAGTTACAAAAACTGCAATACAGAAAATCTGACACTCAAGCAAAAAAAAATGAAGAATTTAGTTCAAAACTAAATGATTTATTTGACATTGTTCAAGTTGATGCCCTTAATGTAATGTCATTACAAGAAGATAGAGATTTTTTATTAATGTAAAGACAAAAAGAACGTCTTGGTATTATGTTAGGAGTTGATATAAATATTACACAAAAAGAAAAAAGAGCCAACGAAAGGATAAGATGTCCGAAAAAAGACGTAAAAGAAGTTATGACGAGAAACAGTCATTGAGTAAGTTTAATGTTGTTTTTGTATTATTATTTAATAATTTAGTATGTATTTTAGATGCGCAAGTAGAAATGTGCTCATCATCAGAGTCTGACTTTGCTAAAGATGATTTTAACAAACCTAGACCGTCTAAAATGTACGTTAAACAACCGACTAGAGGAAGTATTGATTTTATTACGCCAAAACTTGCAGCTGCACTCGATAAATGCAAAATTAGTGATAGAGATGCAGTTCATATATTAATTTCAACAGCAGAGGCATTAGGTGAGGACGTTGAAAAATTAATTATAAATAGATCTTCAATTCGAAACTCACGCATACGTTACCGTAAAGAACGTGCTGAAAAAATCCGTAATAATTATTTGGTAACTATTAAAGATTCCGTTGTCATTCATTGGAATGGTAAACTTTTACCTTCATTAACAGGACAAAAAAATGTTGATCGACTTCCCATTATTGCTTTATGTAATAACCCAACCTGGAGGAGCAAGTACTTTGAAATGTTTAGAATTAATAAAATTGTAGAGAACGTAATCCACGTGGATTGTTTACTCGACATCCCCAACTTTGATGCTTTGCGTTATAGTCACCGCCAATTATAAAGTTATTGTTAATTGTATTGAAATAATTTAAAAATTTTGCATATGATACATTGTGCTTAGGAGGTGAGTAAATTACTGCAATTGTAATTGGAATATTATTTAAACTGATTAGTATAGCACAAGATTGAATACAGTCTTGGCAGAAATTTGGAAGCGTTTGATATATTATTGCGGATTTTTTTAAGATGGCCACACCTCCATGAGCTGTGTTGTCTGGATGGTTAACTTTATGTAGCTTGTAACCAGGTATGTGTATGTGTGAATATTGAGTAAAATGAGTTTCTGTTATTAAAGCAATGTCAATACGTTTATTATATAGTTGTTTGGAGTTCATGAGTGTGATTTTTTAACGATTTGCATTAAATAGTAGGACAAGAAGGGATTTGTTTGTAGAGAGATTAGTCATTTCTTTTATCTAACAGAGAGGATATTGCTTTAGTAAGGAGAGATATTAGAGTATTTATAAGAGATTTAAAATCCTCAAGAAAATTAGTCATTACTTTATTAATGTCAGGAGAGGAGAGAGTAGGATGAATTGAGCGTTGACCGGAGGTAGCCTTAGCATATGAACGAGAAGAGTTTAGGGGGGCATCATTTTCTGGGTGGCTAGTTTGTACAACGTTTGACTTAAGTCTAGAGTTATCTGACAAAAATACATTATTAGAAGTGGGTTTCTTACGATGTTGAAGTTCTTTTTAGACTAAACAGCTTTGTAGTTCGGTTGGGTGGTTTCTTTGACAAAGTGCACATTTGGGTGGAGCATCACGAGAGTTTGAACAGTCGAATGATTGATGGAAATCACCACAACGAACACATCGTGATGGGTAGTTGCAATAAGATTTAGTATGGCCATATTCCTGGCAGTTTATACATTGACTTATTATCTTAGGTTTGTACGGTTCCTCAACTTTTATTTTAGTATAAAGCATGGAGGTATTTATATATATCATTTGATTGAGAGGTTCCAGATCAACAAAAAATAGTGGTAATGGATGTTTGTGAACTTTATGAAGAACATTAGTAACACTACGTACTTCAAAATCAAGGAGTTCCAGTTCAGATTTAATTAAGCTGTTTTGAGTTGTTGGGTGTAAATTGCGAATCACTACACGAATGGGTTTGTCTTGTTGCAGTTGATACGTATGATATTCAGCTTTTTGCTCCTTGAGGAAGTAAATTAATGTCCTATATGTATCAGGAGGGCTAGTTTGGATTTTTAATCGATCCGTGGGTGACTTACAAATAAAGTTTTCAACTCCAAGTATCTCAATTAGATTTTTGCACAGTGCAGGAAAGTTTTGCACGCCCTTTATAAAAATTGGAGTAGGGGGTTTGATAATAGATTCTGTGTTGTTTTTATCCATGTTGTTTGAGGATGTATTAGTGTTTTGCGCATCGTCATGATCATCAGTTATTTTTAAAACTTCAAATCTATTTGATGATGAAAATAATTTTTTTTTTTTGATTGGTTGAGTAAGTACTTTAGGTGAGTTTGGCGGTTCAGAAGACGAGGAGCTGGAGTGATTTCTTTTATTGTTCTGAACGGTCCAGCCATCATTTACTGAGTTGTTTGCATTCGATTGGGACGATGAATTTTGTACTCTTTTATGAATAATTTTGATCGGTGTAATCGGTCTGTAGTTATTGTTAGATATTGTGGCGAGAGTATTGATATATTATATATATATATATATATTAGGGTGGCTCAAAAAAAATCGATCTTCGAAATGTTAATGAGATACCTCATAAATGTATTATATACATTAAAACATTTTATGAAAATTTGAGATTAAAAAAAAAATTTTTACAGGTCGCTCAACGCGTTTTAAGAAAATTGACCAAAAATACTCAAAAAAACATAAAATGTCATTATTTATTCAATTTTTGTTCAAATTTCTTACTTAGTACATCTAAATTGTTCGTTTTTTAATGCTGAATAATAATAATTAGAAAAAAAAATTGTAAGTCCAAAATTGATTGTGTAAAGTCCATAAAAAGCTCAAAAATACGGTTAAGTTCAACGAACACTTAAGTAAACCAAAAAATTTTTTTTTTTTAATTTGATTAATATTTGTGTGTATTTTAAGAGGAAAAAATTTTTTCCACTAATGTTTAAAACTACTACCTTTTCTTTTAGATTAGAACGTACGCTAGAATATACGATGTACATAAAAATAAATGAAAATATCGTCAAATTTTACTGTTTCCTTTTTACATTTTTTTATTTAAAAATTTGGCATTAGCTATATATACATACATACATATTTATAATTATAAAAATAAAAATTATTTTTTATATAAATTTTACTATATGGTTCATATTATATGGTTCATATAATTTATAAATTTAAATCATCCCGAGGATGATTTAAATTTAATTTATGTTCACAAATTTAGAAATTATGTCTATATGTGGTGCTAATATCTTTAACACAACATCATCTGTCAACATATTACAGTATAGTTTTTTGTCTATATTATCTAATAGATCAAGAAATTCATAGTTAAACCATACATTACAAAAATGCTTTGTTTTCAGTTTTACAAAATAATGACCTATATTACATAACACATTTCAGAATATACACCGAAGACGAAGATATACGTGAAACATACTTGAAGACTCTACAAGATATCAAATTGACCATATACTGATAAGGAAACGATTCCATAGATGCAAACATACCCAGGAGCAGACGCTAATAGTAACCACAATCTTCTAATGATGAAGTATAATGTAGTTTTAAAGAAACTAGACAAACTAAGAGACACGATGATAAAGAAATAGAATGTACAAATCCTCAAAGACACCAAAAGTGCGAGGACGTATGCAGAATGTAGCAGTTCCATACTAGAATATCTACCTCAAGCTAATTATTGATATATAATTATTTATACTTACATTCTTGCCAGAATATTTCATATAATGATCTGCTAATGCATAAGGTGGTCTAATAATTGCAGTAGTTTTCCCATTGCTGGATACAGTTTTTTTTACTTCTTCGAATCTTTGAAGAAGTTCAGCATATGCAGCTGGTCTCTGAAGTTTGAAATCGGACATAAATCCAAAACCAAATAATGAGCACAAAAGTTTTATGAATTCAATGTCCACACCTAGATTGAAAAAAAAGTCAAAGTAGTTTTTTAACAAAATAGATTTTAAGAAAATATTTATTTTGATATTTAAGAGTTATATTTCTAGAACATTATAAATTTTAAATCATTATGTATACAGGCTGTAACAGATCTAATTGACAAATCTTTTAACTTTAGATGCAATAAAAATTATTGCTTGAAGTGCTTGAGGCTATATCCATGTTTACAGTTGAGTTCTGACGTTTCGGACTCATTGCAGAGTCCGAAACGTCAGAACTCAACTATATACATGGATATAGCCTCAAGCACTTCAAGTAACAGACAATCCATGAAAGTTTTAACACATTCATAATAAAAATTGTGCTCAATTTTTTTTAAAACAATTTAAAATTTTTAGACTACATTGAAAATATAATATATTTTATCTACTTTTAATTATAAAAAACCCAGCACAGGGGGGTCGCGGCACAGTGGTGACGTGGCATAGTTAGATCAAGTATAATGATATCTGACAGTGATTAAAATCACTATCATAAAAAACGCTTCGATGCAAATCTTTAGATAGTGTTTAATTTAAAAAAATTGGTATATTATTCCAAAAGCTTCATAAACTGCTAGTTCCTTATTAATATCCTGATTAAGATAAAGTATGTCGAATGAAAAAGGGATTATTAAAAAATAGTATTTCCCATAAAAAAATTATATTGATCAATACACTTTTCAATAAGTTATAGCATTATAAA